TAGCTTGGTTGCTCTTGGGGTCTTCTTTGTTGCTAAGTTGAGTAATTATTTATTTAAAGGTGTGCATGATGGTGCTATTCAAGTTAATAGGTGTTGCTAAGTTGAGTAAGAGGCGTTGCTCAAGTACAAAAGGTCACCCGGGCCCAATGGCTTGAGAGTGGTTTTATAGCTTTTTGAACATTAAGCATGGTAATTATGTTCCTGAATTTGGTCGCATCAATCCTGATACAGAAAACCGTCGCCTCCCACCTACGAAATTAAAGGCCGACTAAATTAAAGTGGTCACTGGGTTCACCAGGGTTGATTGGTCAATTATGTTTCCCAAAGCCACGCAGCAGCGACGCTAAGCGATTCTTTTTCCACGCTCAGTCGAGGAAGAGTTCGTCATTGCCTTGCCGACTTATCATCGGAGCTCGCGCAAAGTAGCCTGCCACAGCTGGAGTATGATATCAGACCACTTGCCACTTGCGCCTGCTCCACTGCCAGGGTCGGGTACCTTCTTGTCATGGTCACGACGGCCAAGGTCGTGGTCATCTGTTGGCGGAGGGGAGCTCTGACGCTGGATCTCATCTTCGTCGTTGTCAGGTGGGCCAGTATAGCCCCCTTCTGCCACAGGAGCTTCCTCCAATTTTTGCCATCTTGGAGACAAGCTTGCCAGGAGCGCTGCTTGTCCTTTGACTGGTGCCAAACCCAATTGAACGGCGATCTCCGGTGCTGGAACGAACCTGCTGGTCCCCCGCCGACGACGCGGCCACATCTGTCGTCGCTTGTGTTTGTCATTCTGGTCGGCGGTGGCCCTTGGGCCACCGTCGGCCTTGACAAGTGCAGTGGCAGCGTGAGTCTTGTCAGCCGCTGTGGCTGGACCACCGTCACCCTTGGGTGGAGGGGTGGCAGACTCATTGCCTGCAGGCAAGGTGCGAGGATCAGGCTGAGCTGGTTGTTGTCCAGGGTCGTCGTCACCCTGTTCCTCTTCCATGGACTCAGTAGCGTCGTCGTGGTCAAGGTCCACTGACTTGTCTGTTTTCCCGGAACCCAATGGAGGCGGCAGCGGGTTGGCGGCGGTGTGTGGCTCTGGCGGCGCCGCGGTCGCAGCCGCGGCTTCGGACGGAGCCGGCGTCAAGACAGGTTTGCTCAATGAGCGGCGGCAGGTCTCCCGAGGACAGGGGTCCCGCCGGTCTCTGCTTCGGCTTCTTATTTTTTTCTTGTCATCATCTCGCCGCCGCTCATAGTCGCGGCCGCGTTCGCGGCGTGCCCGGCGGTCATTGTCCTTGTTCGTCGCCATTGCCTGGCAGCGACGATGGCGAGATGACGACGACGATGGGGGATTTAAAATAAATGTTAATTTATTAATGTTTGCACCTAAAAAAACAATAAGCATTTGCCTGGAGTCCGTAGACTCACACTGACCTGACTGAAGTCCGTAGACTTTCCCTGCTGGAGCCCGTAGACTCTGACCATTGAAGTCCGTAGACTTTCGCTGGAGTCCGTAGACTCTGACCATTGAAGTCCGTAGACTTCCCCTGAATCCGGAGTCCGTAGACTCTGGTCCTTAGACCTTTGTCGACTGGGAGTCCGTGGACTGAAGATTGACAGGATGTCGTCGTCCATGGACGATTCAATGTCACATGGATCCCTGGTCCTGACATGATTAAGTTAATTTACATATTAATTTAATTATTATGTCGTGTGGATTCTAATTGCGATGACCCCCAGGGCGCCCACCTTGTCGGGCCAGCACTCGCGAGAGTCGCCGTCGCTTACGCTTGAGCCAGACACAGCTGAGTAGAAACGACAAATCAAGTGTTTAATAATAACCCTTCAAACCTGACATGTAGACAACCGTCAGTGAGTCTTAATTAATATGAGTGTTTCACCCTTCACACAAGATGGCAGCAGGGATGCATCTTTTTTCATCTTCTCGTTGTCTGGTTTGGTGGGAAGACTGCGCCGGCCGGTTTCAAAAAAAACCTTCTAAATCAGCTCTTTTAAAGTGGCTTGCCACATTTGCAGCAGCAAGTTCCTGCCGGAGGACCCTGCTCCTCCGTCCGGGCCAGGGTCTCCTTGGTGGTCTTTGTCAAAGCGGGAACGTTTCGTGTCTACTTCGCTTCTCACTGGAACTGGAGACCTTTGCTTTTTCTTTGGCTTGTTGGGCAGCGTGTCATCCTCCGGACCTGTGGTGTTCGTCGACCAGCAGTGCTTGCTCCAGCGCTGCCCTTCCTCGAGACAATTCTTCCAACGAATCGTCTCATTGTGGTTCCAGTAGTGGTAGCAAGCTAAATGGTAAGGTGACCGGCGATGTTGCCACGAGCCGGCAATTCCACCTCCGACCACGCGGTTGCAGACACTGCATTCATACCGACCAGTCTTGTCGTCGTCGGTCTGACCCTGAGGCTTCTCACCTTGGTCAGCCTTGTCACCTTGGTGAGACTCGTCTTTGCGCTTCGACTCCGGTTTGTGACCTTGGTCACGCTTCACACCAGGTTTGTGACCTTGGTCACGCTTCTCGTGACCTTGGTCACGCTTCTCACCAGGCTTGTGACCTTGGTCACGCTTCTCACCAGGCTTGTGACCTTGGGCACGCTTCTCACCAGTTTTGTGACCGTGGTCACGCTTCGTCTCACCTTGGTGAGGCTGAGGCGGGCCACCTGAGCGCTTGTGCGTCGTGGTGGTCCGAGTGCTGGTCTCAGCCTTGGCTGGACCTGGACGGGCTGCCTCGCCAGCCTCTGGCACGGCGTGCTTTACAGGGCGCAGGTCGTCGACTGAGACTGTTGGGTCCATAACACAGTCTTCTGATTCTTCACCTTCTTCGTCGTCGTGCGACGGCGGTTCAGTCGCCTCAGCTTCTCCAGGAGCTGCAGCCTCTGCAGACGGAGCAGGAGCCGGAGCAGCTTGCGCTGGGACTAGGACAGGCTTGCTGCTGCGAGACCTGTCAGTCTCCTCGTCCCTGCCACGCCGCTCTCTGTCTCTGCTTCGGTTCGTCTTTTTTGCCCGTCTGTCACGGCTTCGACCCCGTTTCTCTTCGTCTCTTCGGCGATCACGGTCACGGCGGTCGCCACGGCCAGAACGGTCAGTCATCAGCCTGGCAGCAGTGGGGGAGGACAATGATTCTTGAATTATTGGGTCCTGTACAAATTTGTCATTTGGTGGCGGGGGTAAGTTAATATTAATCAAAATGCGGCGGTGAAATAAATTTGCCATTCCTTGCCTTGTTCTCAGTGGTGGGCTCCTCCACGCGCCGACTTGACTTGAGCCAAAGCACCTGGGCAGCCAAGGGTTTAAATCATGCCGAATCAGGCGCGACTAAGCCAGCTAAGCCATCAATCGCTAAATTTGCTTCTTTTTTCCACCCCGAGTTTGAGTCAGTGGGTTGGCCGACGGGTCTCCAAAATGTCTTGGCTGTCTTGGCTGGCTGCCTTTGGAAAAATACAACCTACTTTTTCATGTTTTTGTTGCGTCTATGGACCAGCCAAGGACCTAAACTTGCCGCGGCGAAGACGAGAAAACCTCTCAGTCTGTTGACGACTCTGCCTACCACGGAAG